AGAGAGAGAGAGAGAGAGAGAGAGAGAGAGAGAGAGAGAGAGAGAGAGAGAGAGAGAGAGAGAGAGAGACCCTGTATTTTAAGAGGATGATGTGTGTTTTTCTGTACGAGTTCACGCTCTGTGATTTCAGAACAGTCTTTGGGGCTTTGGTGTCCTCATCCTCCAGATTCCCGAAGCTGAACCTAATGCAGGGGAGCCGAGTGTGGAGGAAAGAGGGCAGGGAGTGGAGCGTGAAGAAGCCAGGCAGGGAAGTTCAGAATGGAGGAAACTGGGGGAAAGCAGGAAGGAAGGAGAGGGTTTAGAACAGAACAGAAACAGAAAAGATGGAGGAAAACTGAAAAGAGAACAGAATCAATCTGAACACTCTATAAACAATCTGAAGTGGAAATAATGAGTAAAAGATACAACAGATTAGAGAATGACATATCATGTGCAGCGCAGCATCCCATAATGCTTCAGCCGTTGCTAATAATAGGCTGAGACGTGCATCAAACAGGGTTAAAGGGTCGTAACGCTGCCCTGGTTTTCATCACTCCTTATTGTTGGCTCTGGGCTGTACAGTGTCTGTGAAATGTCAAAGGAGGCCGAAGCAGGCAGGAGGAAAAATCAATGCACTTTGGAAACACTGTTTGGCTCCTGCTCTTTGTTTTCAGCGCACACAAGCAGTAACACAAACACTCAAGTGCATGACGCAAAGCTGTTTTGACATTTACTTGAAATAAATGGGTCTGAAATGTGCTTTCAGCTGACAATGTTGGAGACATTGACTTCAATTTCTGAAATAAACATGTTAAGAAAAAACATGTTGTAAATTTTTGGGGAAACGAGGAAAAGCAAGACAGTATTTTTAATTTATTTGTTAATACCGCAGCTTATTTACAGTAGAGGACAGAAGCCCTGATTTGTGAAACCTCAGATGGTTTTTCAAAGATCTGTTTTCATCCTTAAAGGGATCCCCAATTAGTTGTAACATTAGACTTTATTTAATAAACATATATTTTAACTGTAAAATAAAGACTGTAAAAATTATGTAGGCTGTTTAGTTTTTATCATTTTTAAACTAAAAGTTTAAAAATATATTACATGGATGGGGCCATTTTATTTACATGCAAAGCATTCTGGGTAAATGATGACGTGGATAGGTCCTCGGTGTGAGCGAGCTATATCC